CCTCTGCATCCCCAGGGGCCCATGTCACGGAGCCACCCTGACTTTGGAGGGGCGGGGTCGGCTGGGTCACCCGCGGGGGCTTGAAGGGAGCCGCGTTTCGCGGCGTGGGCTGGAGAGTTGTTCTTCCTCACGGGGGCGGCGCGAGGGTCCGAATACGGGCTTGCTCTTCGCACATGGCGCGGCGCGACGCGCGAAGTTGTGTTCGCATGGCTCAGACGGGCAGGGTTGGGCGGTCGGTCCGGCCATGCGGGCGGCCCGTCAGATTCCAAGTCGGGCGGTGGGTTGGGTCGGGCGGACGGGCCCTAAGAAAGTGAGGCGTCGGTCGGCACTAGCGGGCGTAGGGCGGGAGCGTTTGTTGCGGTCGGGATCTTTTGGCTTGCGTGTCGCTTCGCCGTCTTGTCTACCACGCTTCCGCGCGACACGCTATCCACTTCGCGCTCCCCATGCACCCACGTGCCGAGTTTTTCCCGGCCTCCCAGCCCACGAAGCGGAGCGACACGCTACCCACTCGCGATGCATAGCGTGTCGCCAGGGCCGCCTGGGCGATACGCTGTGCAAAAGTTCCCGACCGTCAGGAGTGTGCCCAGGAGGCTTCAGACCCTGGAGGATGCCTCATCTGGTGAGTTTGGCTGCGATATCTATGGCCAAGCTTCAATCGGCGTTCCGCAAGCTTCCATCTCCTGGATTCCTTATCCAATGGTTGCTGATCCAATGCCCTCACCGTACCTCCATCAGTGAGTGAGGCGTTCGGTCCGGTCGGGCGGGCGGGCCCCAGGTGAGGCAGCTGGTCGGGCGGAGGGGGCGGGCCCCGATTCGGGAATCCTCTGACGGCGGGACTCAGGAGAGAAAGGCAGCCAATGCCGTGGGGATGTTTTGCAGTGTTCCTCCCGTGGGGGAATGGCGGGTGGGGATATCGTATAATGGGCACAGTACTGGCAGTAACGCGGCAGGGTCATTCTGCCGTTGCGTTGCCATTTCCTTCGTCGAGGCGCGCTGCTGGCTCAGTCAGCTGCGGTCAATTGCAGTACAGATGTCGGCCACGCACAGAGGGGGGTAGGGGGAGGGGAGATGGCTTCTTAGAAGCCACCCTGCTTTTTAGGAGGCGCGGGCCTGGTCCGTGTGTGTGTATATATATATATATATATATATATATACGGAGCCGGACCCTTCTAAGAAGCAGCCTCCTTCTAAGAAGCCGTCACCCCTCCCCCTACAGCCGGGGCGCTGAAGAAGGAACCCTTCTCGTTTAAAGGGGGGTTAACATTCCTTAGTTGTTTCACAGTTTGCCTTCGGTTTTCCTCAGGTCTCGATGGGACATCGAAGCTTAACTTACGGACAAAAGGGGCCTCGTTCCCTATTTAGGGTTCCTTAGGTCAATACGCCGACTGTACCCCACTGTGCGCGCCGCCAATTCACGAGCCTGTCCATCGTGTCTTCCGCATCGCTCCGGCCGCGGAGAGTTGCCGAGCTCGGTCGCGCGCGGGCCGTGGCCGCGGCGGTCCGAGAAGATCTGCCGGGGGACGCGGCGTTTGCCACGGCAGAGAACAGAAGGATGCGAGCCCCGAGCCTCGACCCTCGATCTCGACCCTCGAGTCTCGAGTCTCGATCTTCGAGCTCGGTCGTTGATCCTCCAGCTCTTCGACCCTCGAGTCTCGAGCGTCGATCGTCGATCCTCGACCCTCGAGTCTCGATCTTCGGGCCTCGACCCTCGGATCCTCGACCCCTCGGATCCTCGACCGCGGCGGCGGCCTTGGTCCTCAGAGATCGGGGGAAGGGGAGGGGGGAGTGCTTTCTCCGCCACCTGGCATCGCGCCACATCGCAGTCCTTCACTGGCGAACCGCGTCGTTCGTAATCCTACCCCAGGGCCCGTCGCGCAGGTGTCCTCCGGAATAAGTCGTGCGACGGATAGAGGGGGGAGGGAGGGGAACTAATGCCCACAGAGCAGAGTAGTCGGATCTACGAGTGGAGGAGCTGTCAAAGATGATCAATGCGCCCGTGGCGCCAATGCGTGTCGCTGTTATCCTTCTCCTCGTCATCATACTTTTCGTCGTCCTGCAGGGCTTATTTCGATTCCTCCGACTCGATTCGATTCGATGTCGATTGGTTCCGATTCCGAGTCGATTCAGTTTCGGATTCTGATTCGAGCTTCGGCTTCTTAATGGAGGCCTTACTGGCCTGACGATTCCTACCAGCTCGACGACTTCTCCCGACTTGGCTGCCGATTTTTGCCGATCCGGTTTACGTCGATCGCCGATCCGAACTTTCGATCCGATTCTGGGCTCTCTTGTCCTGCCCCGTGGCAGGTTCCTGGCGCGGGGGTGGCGCGTGCGGGGTCGCTCGGGGGGGCACTGCAATCCAGCCCGACGACTTCAGACACGAGACCGAGCCCGTCGACACCAGCTACGGGAGATGCATCGAGAAGCACAAGCTTTCCGCCATGAGCTACGAGGGACGTGCGGAGAAGGAAGAGTCAGACGCACCATCAGCTACGAATGTGGGGGCACGGACCGTACGCCACCTCCTAACCACGACGTCCAGGTGCTCCTAGACATGACATGCACTTTATTCAAATCGGGGCAGCCCGATGTCTCATCTAGTGCACCTCGACAGATTTACAAGGCCGCTCCGCAGGCCGTGTGGCATCCAGGCTTCAAACACCTGCACGATCGCATCTCTACTTGCCTCGCGGACGGGCAGTGTTACAAACACCCGATGGCGGGGCAGTGGCAGGTACATGAAGAAAGTCAGCGGTAGAGTCGCAGGGACAAGGAGAAGGAGGAGCAGGAGATTGCTTACAGTGGTGTAGAGGACGAAGAGGACGTGGGCGAGGCATGAAGGGCGGGAGCGGACTACACCTTGCAGCTGCCCATACACAACAAGTACACGCTCAATAAGCGCAGCGGCGCGCCGCCCGCCAGGCGTGAGCGGGCGGGGAAGTGAGAAGGCCGATCAGTGGCAGCGAATACAGACGTCACCAGCTACAGTCTCGGCGGGGTGTGTGTGTGTGTGCGTCCAGAGACAGCAGCAGCAGATGCAGGCGCGGGGCGACGCGGGCGCAAAGGACTGGCAGTGGCAGCGGGCAATGGGGCGACCAGCGACGAAACGTCATCAGCTACAGGCCCTGCGGGCAGCATGCGAGAAGGCGTCGAAGGTGGCAGCCAGAGGGGCGCTCACAACCAGGTCGACGTGGGGAGCCTCGTTTTCGAAGTCATCGTCGCGACCTCGAGGACCAGATGGGCCTACGGGTAACGTGGAATTCTGCAGAGTGCTCGCAGAGGACGGGACCGTCCACAGCAGGTCGTTGGGGCACGGTCAGGTGTGCTTCTCCACAGACATGGAGACTACCAGGGCCACGGCCACCTTGGACGCGGCTAAGAAGGCCGTGGCTTCCCTGGAGGCCAGTAGCTTACCACGTGCGTGGTAGAACGGTGGTGGTGTGGTGCGAGAAAAGCTGGAATGGCTACAGGCTGGGATCTGGAGGAGTACCGCCCGGCGCGAGCCGGAGCCAGGGACTGCTGCAGCTGAACAGCGCGCGCCAGAACTTCAGCAGTGGGGCGGGAGGCATGGCAGGGACCGGAATGCGCGCGATGCTGGCCTGGGACCTCGCTCGCCCGAGGGCGCCGCGGCCGTGCGCGGGACTCGGGGAGTCGAGCGAGGAGGGGGAGGAGGGGCCGTAGCCATTTTGGCTCAAGGTTCGAGGTCCGAGGTGGAAGGGCAGCCCCTTCCCCGGGCCTGGCTGCCTCGGCCCAGGTTTTCAGCCCCCTCGTTCCGAGCTATTTCTCGCTTTTAGAGCTCAGTGATGTACGACCGCCAGCGTGGAGGGGGTCAAGCCCATGGTGGACTGGGCCCAATCTGCCCCGCGTGTGGGTGTAAGAAGAACCCTTCGCACTTCACATTCTGCTATGATTGCAAGTCTCCTCTCTCTGTGTTTCGTGGTGGCCAGCCTCGCACTCTGCAGGGAGGCGCATGGGGGCAGCAGTCTCGGCAGCAGTCTCGTGGAGGAAGGGAGGCCAGCAGCATTGGCAGTATCGCGATGATGGTAAGGGCATGGGTCAGCGCCAGCAGTCTTTCCACAGCCGCGTCGACGACCTTCATCGGCACAAGCAGTTGGCTGAAGGCAAGCACGAGGATCTCTTGTCTCCAGCATTTCGCCAGATCATCAGTTCGGCACGGGACACCGTGCTTGCTGAGAAGCAGGAGACCACCCCCGCCAGCCAGAAGCTGGCCAAGGCCGAGCAGGAGGTCCGCAAGAGGGAGAAGAAGGCATCTCACATGAAAGCTTCTTTGGAAAGCTTTCTGCAGACATTGCCGACCCCAACACAAGTATGATCTACTTGTTTCTGAGTTGGATCAGGAGGGCATCGAGTTGGCCGATGCACGCAAGAAGGTCGCGGCCCCCGTGGTCGCCCCTGTCTTGCCCCAGGTTGACGAGTTCGCGCGGCACTTGGACGCCTTCAAGGCCCACCTTTTCTGGTCCCGGGGCTCACTCAGATCGATCCGGCAGCGCTTCGCCCTTCCCTCGAATTCCCACATGCGGCCCTGGAGCCCAAGTTCAGTGAAGCTTTTCGACCCAACCCTGGAGTTCCTTCAGGACCCGTCGAAGCAGATGAAGATGATGTCGATGGAGGGCCCCCCCATCCCGACCAGCCCATGCATGTTGACGAGAAGGACTGGGGGCAGGCTGTGGCGTCTGTCTGGGGACTCTTGGAGTCTATCAAGCGTGAGCTTTCCGCGGCTTTTCGCACCCAGGCAAAGAAGGCCAGATTTCGTTCCCCAGGGCCACGGGCGCCAGGGACTCCAAACCACCCAGGCGGCTCTGAGTGGGACAGTCTCTGAAGATGTAGGCCGCCTATCGTGTTCTGTGCAGCGTCAGTGTAGCAGATGCGGGAAGGCATTTGCTCGTCGAGAGTGCAGTGCCAGTCGACGCAGTCTCTTCCAGACGTGTCTTTTGTTACATTCAATGGGAGCAGCTGGAATGGGGCTGCGCAGGACGAAGCTAGTGGGGCCTCCAGCCGAAAGAGGGGTCTCGTTTGTCGTGAACCCCTGCAGGGTCCGCAAGCTTCGATTTGTTTTCCTCCAGGAACACAAACTTCGGGGAGGGCTCCTGCAGGGTATTATTGCTAGTGTTCAGAAAGCTGGGTGGCGTGTTTTCATTTCAGATTGTCTGTCTACTGGTTCTGGCAATCCATGTGGAGGGGCTAATTATGACTGTTGCCCGCAGACGTGTGGACTTTTGGAGTCCCCCTGGGACCAGCAGCAGCCTTTTTGAAGGGCGAGTTCCACGTTGCTTCCTTAGTGCGGGGCGTCTTGGGCTTTTTGCTTTGTCTTCGGCTTATTTCAGAGACTCCACTGGGCTTCTCTGGGCGAATCTCGCGTTCTGAAAGGCTATCGCCACGGACATCCTAGGACGCAACATCCCGTTCATCATAGGTGGTGACTGTAATATCAAGCCAGGTGTTCTCGCGGCATGGGCGCCTCTCGGCGAGTTGCAGCGTTTAGTTCGAGCTCCTGAGCAGCCCGCCTATGTTGCAGATGGTGCCGCCACCGCGATTGACTTCTTCGTCGTCAGTCGGGTGCTGGACCATGTAGCAAGCGATATGAAGATGGATTTGCAGAGTGCTTTCAGCCCGCATAGGCCTGTCTACCCTTCCCTCCGTCAGCGTGAGGAAGATGTGCGAGCGCGCACCCCCAAGAAGCTTCAGTTCGTGCCCGCCGAACCTGCAGTGGGACCCCCTCCTGCGCCTCCCGACTACCTTGGCCTCCAACAGCGTCTGGGACATATGGTAGGTCAGTTCGGGGAGGAGGATGCCTCTGTCTACATGCTCAGAGGAGAATCGAGGGAGGCTGGAGTTCGATCGCTCGATGAAGTGCTTGGGGAGTGGGGGAATCTCGCTCGGAAGGAAGTTCTGGATGTTAGTCGAACTCGAGACCCTCGGGGCCTTCAGGGAGGATCCCCCGCTCAGTTCCACCAGGTCAGTATTCGCGTCCAACTGGTCACCGAGAGTTACCAGCAGGCGTGCCCAGGGAGGGCGATTCTGTGGGTGCTCAATCGCCTCAGGGAACTTCGGAGACTCTTCAAATGCTCGGGGATCGCGTTGATTACCGCAGGCGCCTTCTTGGCCCATGGATTTGTGCTCCTCGGAAGGAGGGGGGGGGTGCTTTTTCGGTCCCACCGGGGGCAGGGGGCAGACTTCTGGCACCCGTTGCTAGCTGGGGTTGCTGGCCGACTTTTGTTTCCTCGTCGCGGAGTTGACCCGTGTGTTCTGATCGTGGAGGTATCCAGCTTCGTGCAGCTTCGGGAGAGGGTTGGACAACTGGGGGAGAGGATGCCCTGATTCGGTCAGCAACCAGTGCCAGCAGGCGTATTCTTTTTTTCGCTCAGGTGTACCCCTTACAGAGGAGGTTGCGCAGCTCGGCGGTGAAAGTTCTAGCGCTCTTCCTTGGCGTCTCGAGGCCGAGCGGCGGCTGCGGCGAGCAGCTTGGCAAGCCTCTGAAACTCCCGTTCTGCCAGAAGTTTATCGTTCTCTGGGAAGGTGCCTGTCCCGCCTCCGAGATCTGGGGATGCCTTGAGGAAAATCAGCTCGCGTCTCAAATCCAGGACCTGTGCCCCTGATGGATTTCATCCTCGTCGTTTTTCGCGGTTGTCGGGTCTTGGTCTGGATCCCCGAGGGACGATTTACCAACTCATGGATATGGTTGGCCAGGCGCTGTCTTCCATTCGCCAGCTTGTCGTGTTCCTCATGCCTCAGATCAACAGAGGCCGTCGCCCTCGGACATTCCAATGGTTCCATCGGATTCCATGGGAACACCCATCGAGGCCCCTGTCGTATTTGGGAGACGTCGTGTGGGTTGCCCCCTGAGTTTGCCATGGGTCAGGGCCGCTCGGCCCTCGATATTGTTTGGAGGCAAAGTCTCAGGGCTATGCTACCCTATTGTGGGGCCTGTGAAGTTTCATGGGCATATCCAGCGTAACATTTTGTTTTGGGGGGGGGGCGATGAAGGCTAAGTTCCCTTTGTATGTTTTGGCTCTTACCACGGGCGCCTATTCCTGGAAGAGGTTCTTGCTCCTGGATGGGGCCGATTCTGAAGATTTGTGGCCGCCCGGGGGCATGGTGGCGGGGGGCGCCTCAGCCACCTGCGATGCCGAGGCCTTCGCGCTCCCCACTGCTCAGGCGGGCTCCGAAATTGAGTTCACTTCTCAAGGGCTTCACGTGGGCGGCCTGTCTGCTCCTGCGCGGCGCGAGTCCATGCAGATTTGCGTCGGCCAGCTCAAGATCTTGGCCGCGTTTTTTGCTCGTCGCATCCATGACGCACTGCAGGTGCATCTTGCCCTTAATAAGATGCATGCAGTGGCCAACTCCAGGGAGCTCTTGAAGGTCGTCAACGCGGGGCTCCAGGCGTTGGCAGGTACCCCCGCGTGGAGCCCAGGGAGCCTGCATGTTTCTTTCACTGCAAGGCAGCACCAGTAGCGCCCGTTCGCCAGGGAGGCGCGCAAACAACTTAATAAGGGCTTTCAAGGATCGGGTATCTAGGCTGAAGGCTCTCAAGGTCCCCGAGAAATTCAAGTCTAGGTTATTCCGTATTGGGGCTCTTCCTACTATCAGTTATGGTATGGAGGTTCAAGGGGTTGCTCCGGATGAGGTCCTTCGGCTTCGTCGGGCTGCTGGTCGCATGTATGGGATATCCCAAAGTGGGACCAACCTGGATCTCATGTGGGCTCTGTCTAAATGGAGAGGTGATCCCCTGGTTCTCGCGTCAGGACCATTGAAGGGGCACACTTGTGCATGGTGGCGCGCGTCTCAACCTGGGCCCCATGGGGGGCCAGTCCACCAATATGCTCTGAGCCCAGGAGGTCTGGGCAAGGCGTTTCATTCTGCCTCGTCGCAATTTCTTTACACCCGAGGGCGATCCTGGCTTTTCGGACCAAGGGTCCCGTATCTGCGATGCTGTTGTGGTTGGGGAAGGCTGGGTGGTCTGGGGAGGGGCCGGCCAGCTTTGTTAGTTCCACCAAGCGGAGATGGATCCTCACGGAGTCCCCACCGCAGCAGATTGCCGATGCTTTTACTAGTGATCTTGCCAACTGTCTGCTTCGTAGTTTTATTGTTTCGCTTGGACCAGCTGTCCGAGCGGCTGGCCTATGGCTACTTGCGACGCAGAGAGTAGCGCGAGCCCTCCCTCCCCGCCAGGAGCACTTGCATTGGCAGGTTCTATCTCCGCCCCCACCTCACAGGCCCCTATTAAGTGGGGCTATCGAGTTGAGGACGAGTGTCCGCTGCGTGGACTACCTGGCGACAGTCTTTGGCACAGGATGTGGTTGTGCCAGCGCGATTTCCCAGCAGCAGCGAGGACTGAGCATTTCAGTGACGAGGTTATTTGACAGATTCTGTCTGCTGGGCCAGATTATGGGTCAACGTCGGGGTTGATCATAGGTCCCCAAGAAGTGCCCACCCCAGCCCTCGATTGGGATTTGCGCTTCTTTGAGGGATCGAGTGGGTCCCCATGCGGACCGTTGCAGTTTTCCGTCGGCGGTTCTCCTTCTATTGACGGCAGTTGCTTCCGCGGGGGACGCGAAGAAATTGCGCGGGGAGGTTTTGCTGTCGTGCACATGTCGGGCGAAACTCTAGTCCGAGGAGTTTATGGCCCCCGTGTGGTTTCAAACAAACGTCTGGCATTTCAGAGCATGCAGTTTTGGCTGTGGCTGCGTTGCGTAGGTCTGCCCATGGTTTTCACGATCGGCCCAGTCCTGTCGTCGTCGACGACCAGTCGTTGTTTATGGGCGTCGTGAACCCACCGAGGGCTTTCGGAGGTGCGTCCCTTTTTAGTTTTTTCTAAAAAGAGATGGCTCGGTATCTAGGGCGCGCGTCTCCCCTGGTCTCTCTTCACAAAGTCAAAGCTCATCACAAAATGAATGATGGGCTTGGCCCAGACGCTCGCAGTCTTGTTGCTGGGTCCACCGCTGCCGACTGGTGGGCCAAGCAGGGTGCGAATCTGTATGACTTGGCGCCTGCGGAGGTTCAAGCCTTCGAGGGGACTGAAAAGCAGTAGCAAAGCCTGTGTGTAAGAGTGTGCGATGTCCTCGCGTGTTTCCCTAGCGCAACGTCCATGTACGGTAAGCTCCAGAGGGTTCCGAAGCCACCAGTGCCTAGGATACCTGCGAGCCTCCATATCCCCGTCTGCCATGGAGACGTCCTCAGGTGTGGGCGGTGTTTTCAAGCCTGAGCACCTCTAGCCCTTGTGAAGATCTGAATCGTTATTTCTCGTTTCTTTTGACGGGGTGGGGCGGGCGGGGGGCGGGCGCGAGCTCCACTGGGCCAGAGAGGTATGCTCAGACATTCCATGTGTGTTATGTGTACTGTGTGGGGGTTTTGCTTCTTGCAGGGGAAGCGAGAAGCTCAGCAACCCTTGCACCAACCCCAAGAAGAGCTCGGAAAGGTCCAAGCTCTTGAAGGGTGTGGTTCTTGGAAGCACTCATAGGCTTGGCCAGTCTTTTCCTCTCTCTTCCCTTCCCGTCTTCCCCCTTTCGCCCCCTCCTCCCCTTGCCCCTGCCTCCGCCTCGACCGGGCCAGCTTTTTGATGTGCTCCATTCGTAGTGGTGCGTCGGTTACTTGTGAGGTGACCAGGCGCGCATCGGGCACCGAGGTCACCGAGGAGGAGGAGGAGGAGGATGATGAGGAGGAGGACGAGGAGGAGGAGGAGGACGGGGAGGAGGAGGAGGAGGAGGAGGAGGAGGAGGAGGAGGACGAGGGGGATGAGGAGGAGCAGGAGGAGGAGGAGAAGAAGGAGGCGGATGATGATGATGATGATGATGATGGTGATGATGATGATGATGATGATGATGATGATGATGATGATGATGGTGATGGTGATGGTGATGGTGATGATGGTGATGATGATGATAATGATGGTGATGATGATGATGATAATAATGATGATGCTGATGATGATGATGATGATGATGATGATGATGATGATGATGATGATGATGATGATGATGATGATGATGGGCAGGAGAAGGAACAGCAGGAGGAGGAGCAGCAAGAGAAGGAGAAGGAGGAGGAGGCGGAGGAGGAGGAAGAGGAGGAGCAGGAGGAGAAGGAGGGAGAGGAGAAGGCTGGCGCCTGCAGTGCCGAGTGTCGGGGGGGAGGATGAGGGAGCAGGGAGGTGAGTACGAGATATTGGTGTTTGTTGGTACGGTGATCGTGATGACGATGACTATGATGATGCGGATGGTATGATTTTGATAATGATGGTCATGGTGATGATGCTGATGATGATAACGACAATGATGATGATGCTTGTGATTCTGATAATGATGATCATGATGATGCTGATGGTGATGATGCGGATGATACTGCCGATGCTGCTGATTCGGATGATGAGGGGTATTGTGATGATGATGATGGCGAAGATGCTGGTTCTAACGATGATGATGGTGATGATGGTGGTAATGATAATGACGGTGATGATGGTGATGATGATGATCATGATGATGATGATGATGAGGATGCTGATGATGATAATAATGATGATGATGATGAGGAGGAGAAGGAGGAACTGGAGCAGGAGGAGGAGGAGGAGAAGGAGGAGGGTACAGAGGAGGAGGAGGAGGAGAACGAGGAGGAGGAGGATATTTGAGGATCGTGAGGAGGTGGAGCAGGAAGAGGAGGAGGAGGAGGAGGACCAGTGTAAACCGAAGACTCATCAGCGATGTTGTAATAAACCATCCCCAAGCTCCTTTTTTCCAGAGTCCCCTATAAGAATTCATGTCCAATTCATTTCCAGTGAGGGTTGTGCCCAGTCTGGACACAACCGTTTGACGATCCTGAAGCATTCCAAATCACCATTTTCGGCCCCCCCGCGTCACGATTTTACTTGACTGCTGCGTCTTGACGATTTTGAATCGTGCCAGCACACCATTCCTGGGACGTCAACGCCACAAATCAACGTAACCATTGCGCCCTGACAGTCCTGAGTCTTTTCAAGCAACACATACTGGTACGCTGACCGTGGGAATCCGTGACACCATAGCACATATCTAAGACGAGTGTGCGCGGCGCTAAGGCGAAAACCATATGCTGAAAAGGAGCCGCCCTCAACCCGTGATGTTCTCGCACATGCTTAAGACGAGTGTGCGCGGCGTTCAGGCGAGAATCGCATTTCGAAAACGGCCCGCCCTCAATCCGTGAAGTTCTCGCAAATGTTGAAGACGAATGTGCGCGGCGCTCAGGCGACAGCAACATTTTGAAAACCGCCCGCCCTCCATTAGTAAGCTGTAAGCTGTTGCCATTTTTCATGTTTCAGTGTCATAAGCAGTGATCAAGCGAAACTCCTGGCCCGCCCTTGCGACCGGCCTCGGGGTGCGACAGGGAGGAGTTATGTCTAATGAGAAGGAAGGAATGGAAGAGGGGGAGGAGGAGGAGGAGGAGGAGGAGGAGGAGAAGGAGGAGGAGGAGCGGGAGACGAAGAGAGCAATGGAACGCCCCCTCCTTCAAGGCGGGGGGGGGGCAGCAAAAGAGGGGAGGGGGTGTATGAGGAGGAATGGATGGGTGGAGGGAGGAGGAGGCGGAGGAAGAGGAGGAGGAGGTAGGCCCACCAACTAATGTTCAAATAACCTTCTGTGGTCTGCACGAAAGCTATGTTGTTTTATCAAATCGGGCTTGGGTTCTAAGAACAGTGTCTTTGTGATTCGAGAAATTCTGGGTTCTAGGAACGTCGTGGTAGGCCTAGAGGACTGCCGGGACGGTTGGTCCCTGTTCAAAAGTGGAGGCTGGTTAACGTATACCGTGCACGCAGAAGCATGCTCTCCCCCGGCTCAATGAGTGGCGCCCCGGCGCCCACTACCAGCCCCACGCGCGGCAGCCCTCACGTCGGAGGGAGGAGAAGCGATACCAACACCACCAGGGGGCCCACCGCCATCGAGGAGGTCCACGATGCCTCTCCGAGCTGGAGGCTGGGGATGTCTCGAGCGAGAGGGGGGGACCACACCACCAGGGAGTTCCCCCTTGCCTCCTCGCATCTCCTCGCCCCGTTGATGTTGGTGTCGCCTTTCCTTGTTCCTATCACGGGCGAGTTGGGAGTCGCCTCGCCTCCTCAACCCCCCTCTCCTCTCTGTCATCGGCGGGCGGCGAGACCGAGGGGGAAGCGAGAAGGGACGGGCCTTTTCAGAAGGCTCGGATCGACTACACGTAAGAGTGGCCCTTCGCCAGAGTGACCTTGGGTGCGGGCCCACTGGGCTCTCCCGATTTCCGAACGCGAGACAGCCGTGGCGTCTTGCGCGCTCGTGTTTGGTCCTCCCGCGGCCCACGAAAAGCCGCGCACCAAAGGTCGTTCTTACCCAGGGTCACTCTTGCGTGAAGCCGATCGGAAGTCCCCCAGCCCTCTGAGAAGTTTCCTGAGCCTTCCCCAAAGACACAGAGAAAACCTCTCAGCAGGAGGCTTTCTCCTTCTAACTTCCCCCTTTCGCTCGCCGCCGATGCCCCCCCCCCCCCCCCAGAAGGCGCTGCGGACGAGGGCATGCCGCGCGGCGCGGAGGAGACGGCGCGCCTTCCGGCCGCGCTCCGGCCCGCTCGGCGCCTCGGTCGCGGGGGAGACTTCGGGCGGGCCGCGCTGACGTTGGTTTCGCTCTTGGGCCAGCCAGGGTCGGGGACCCCCGAACGCGGGCGGGTGAAGACTCCCCTCCTCTCCCCTCTTCTCCCCTCTTCTCCCCTCCTCCCCTCCTTGCCCTCTCCCCTCCTCCCCTCTCCCCTCCTCTCTTCCCCTGTCCCCTCTTCTCCCCCCCTCCCCTCCTCTCCCCTCCTCGCCCCTCCCCGCCTCTTCCCTCCTCTCCCCTCCTCGCCCCTCTCCTCCTCCCCTCTCCTCCCCTTCTCTCCTCGCCCCTCGCTCCCCTCCTCTCCCCTCCTCGGCCCATGTTCCTTCTCGCGTTTCCCCCCTCCTCGCCCCTCCCGCCCCCCCTCCTCGCTCCCCCCCTCGCCTCCGAGAGGAGGGGGCGGGCGCGGGGTTGGGGGGGGGGGAGGGCAGGCTGGCTCGCGCAGGTGAAGCTCACTCAGACTCCCTGCGTCCCGCTCCTCGCTGGCCCCAGTGGGGGGGGGCCGCATGCGTCTCCCCCACCCAGGACTGCGTTTCGTAGCCCCATAGGGAGCCACACCGAAGTCCCAGTGGCACAGTTCGCATGCGTCTCCCCCACGCAGGACAGCGTTTCTTGGCCCATAGAGAGTACCACCGAATGCGATACTCACAACGACGGTATTCACAACTGCATATGGTTGGGTCCTTCGCCAGGCTAATTTTTTCACGGCCATAACGGGCGTTACAGGGGTGGAGGGGGGGGGCGGGAGAGGGCACAACGTAGCGCCCCCCGCCCCTCCCCAGACTGTGGTTCCAGACGCCCTGCGACAGTACCGGGGACGCACTGAAGGGGGGGGAGTGTTACGTCATGGGGGGGAGGGGAGGGGGCATAACGCCCGCATCGGCCCAAAGGCTTCACAACAAAAACACTCGAGAGGAAGGAGGGGTGCCACACCGCCGGAAAAGTGCGGCCACGGTCGCCATGCGGCAGAAGAAAAACAAAAGTCAGACTCCGAGCGTTCGGGTGCCGGGGCCTCGCGCGGCTCCTCCCCGTCGGTTGCCCGCACTCCCAAGTCTTCTCGGCCGCGGCACGAGGAGAAACCCCCAAAAGGGCCAGGCCTCGCAGGAGACCCACCCCGCTCCGAGGTGCAGCACTCGAAGCGGGCCCCCAAAGCGGCGGCACACTGCCCAATCCAAGCATCGCAGCCGGTGAACACGGGGGACGGCGGTCCCTCTCGGGGGAGGACGGAGGAGCGATGAGGGATAAGGCAGGAGAACAAGGGGGGAGAAGCGAGGAGGGAGGAGGGAGGAGGAAGTAGGAGCGAGGAGGGAGAAGGGAGGAGAGCAAGGGAGGAGGAGGAGGAGGAGGAGCAGGAGGAGGAGGAGGAGGAGCGAACGTCGCCTGAGGGGGGCGAGTCCGTCGGAAGGCCGAGCTATGGCGCGCCCGCTCCGCCCGACAGGTCGGCGGGCAGCTTCAGAGCATGGCGGCGGCGGCTACGGCGGTCGATTGCTTCTGGTACGTCATCGGCACGACGTCGTCCTTGGTGAGGTGGCAGGCTCGCGTCGCAACGCTGAGCCTCGCGACACTGTTCGGGATGCCGGTCTCTCCGTCGAAGGGGTCGGTGAGCTTGGGGAGTCCAAGCCTCGTCAAGAGGTGGGCGCTCAACTGGCCTCGAGGCTTGGCCAGCTGGTGCCACATGTGCTCGCATACGACGTAGTGCTGGATGGCGTCCTTGCCGTCGGGGAGGGGGCACCCGAAGTGGCAGGGTCGCTTGAGCGGGATCACGTGCATCCTGTGCGAGGTCGTCCACGCACGCGAGAGCACCTTCAGTGCGCCCCACAGCCTGGCTGGCGGAAGAGTCGCGAGGTGGGTGCGCAGGCGCAACCACCGAGCATGTAGATCAGCAGGAACTTGTTCGGCTTGTAGTAGGTCTGGCTGTGCGTCAAGGTCTTCAAGTGGGTCTTCATCGTCCATGTCATCATCGTCTCGGTGGATGTCCTCGGGGTTGGCGTCGGGCTCGAGGAAGGGCAGGATGTGGTTGATCCATCGGCGGCGTGCACGATGTTGGGCGGCTTCACATGAGAGCAACGATGAGCGTGGAGATCGACTGCGTGGAGATTCGCGGGATTGGTCATTGCGGGCCAGGCGGCGTTCGAGTAGAAGTCGTCCTATGCCGCTGTTGTCCCACGACTGGGTGCACATGTTGACGGCGATGTGGTGGCGCTGGATGTTCGTGGAGTGCAGCGGCAGGAACAGGTCGGTGCCGAGGAGCTCGTACAGATAGGTGGTGCACCACTGCATCCAGTCTTCGCGGTTGTCAATGCTGGGGTCGTTCAGCAGGATGTTGGGAAGCCAGTGGGCGGCCCAGGCACGGGCACGGTTCATCAATCGGTCTTGTGCACGTTCAGCTTCGCGGCGGGGTCCGTCTGGTGGT